AGAAAGAAAGAAAGAAAGAAAGAAAAGACTTGACAAACCACCAACATATTCCATATTTTGAAAGATGTAAGTCCTAAAAGAAACCAATATGATTCCATCTTACGGTGTCAAGAAGAATTAACTTGCAGACTATAAACAAGAAGCTATAAGATTGCCAAAGTGAACCCCTCATATCTCAGGGGGGAAACTGAGATGAGGGTAAAAATTAAGGAAGGTTTACAGGCTTCTTCTTAGCATCCGTTCCATCTTTATCAGACCAAAAATACCCTTGGTTCAACTGGAATTCATCCCTTTGCTTAGTCACAGGCCAGTGACTTCGGGTTCCCACCTGCCGCACTAGCCATTTCCCAGTTCCCTGACAACATAGATTAAGTCGGAAATTGGAATTAGCCCAACTAAACAGAATTAAGATATGAAAAGTTGGGTTGCATTTCTTTTGCAGCAATGGAGCCCTTGTATGTACAAACCATAGCTACAGACAGGTCACGTCAGCAAAACTGATTTATTAGAGACTGGTAAAGGCCACACGTGAGGAGTGTAAGGATGAATCCACAGGGATGGAGGTTTAACTCAGTGGCTGACTGCCTGCCTAGCATGGGCAAGACCCTGCATTGGTTCCCCAACACATACACAAGAAAGGTCTGTTCAGAGAACACAGAACAGAACTAAAATGTTAAGTGTCTAAATAAAAAGAAGCTTGAAAAATGGTGTTAGCAATATAGTCTTCTAATTTATGTTTAGGACAGAGAAACAGGAGGCTAGTACAGTCAACTATTAGTAAGTAGCAAATGGAAAATAAAGTCTTTAACTCCAATAAAGACTTTAAAAATATAACTAATAAATGTAATCGAAGAAATGAAAGACACTATATCCAAAGAATTTAATGACACATAATAATGAATCAACAAATAGGGAATCATAATGTGTACATGAATGAATGACTTTATTTTGAATGAGTGACTATATTTATATATATATATTCATAAATATATATCACATAGAAATATTAAGTTTGAAAAATATAACTGGAAAAAAAAGAATTCATTGCACAAGTTCAGCAGCAGATCTGAGATGACATAAGGAAAGGAAGTTCAAAGACGAAACAACGGAGATTATCCAATCCAGAGAAGTTTGTCCTGCTGAGAAGACTGGGGGGGCGGAATGAGCCCACATCCACAGATCTGTATCACAGTGTCAGCCCTACCGACCCACGTGTAAAGGAGTCTAGAGGAAGAGAAGAGCAAAGACTACATAACTGAAGACATCATAAGTGAGAAATCCCCAAATTTGAGGAAGACATTAATTAACATACTTAAGAATCTGAACAAGTTCCTAAGAGAAAAAGGCTCACACACACACAGACAGACGTAGAGACAGCATATTCAAACGACTGGCGGTCACAGACAATGAGGACACCTTGGAAACACTGGGGGAGATATTGTGCCCAAGGCATCGGAGTAGCTAACTTCTCATTGATAGAACAGTGTGGACCTGGAAACATTAGAACGACATATCCAGATTCCCCCAAGGAAAAAGGATTTCAGTCCAGCATTCTGCATTCAACAAAACTGTCCTTCAAAATAATGGCAGGTTAAATATACTCCCAGGTGAACACACACTGAGAGGGATTCATTGCCAACACACCTGGGCAGAAATGCTAAAGGAAGACTTTAAGATTGAAAAGGAATATTGCTAAGCAGCAAAGGAAACTATACAAAAAAAATTAAATAAAATATGAAAGAGAATAAATAATTAAGGAAAACAGTATTTGATTATTTGAAAAAAGTCAAGAAAATTAATAAACCTTCATGCAGCTAAATTATCCAGGAAAATAATGCTAAAGACACAAATTGACAAAGCCAGAATGAAAATCAGTATAGATACGGCAAAAAAAAAGATCAGAATTCAATTATTACAAAAATTAGATAAGATAGATAATTTTTTTAGAAAAATGATAAACAAATGTATCCTTGGTGTGGTGACATTTTATTAATGATTTATTATAGGTTGCCTGGGGATTCAGAAAGCAAAGTCAGCCACAAGGCATAGAAGCCAGGCACACACCTTTAATCCCAGCAGCCAGAAGCTAGGTGGTGGTGGTGCACACCTTTAATCCTAGGACTTGGGATTAAGAGATAAATGGATATCTGTGAGTCCAAGGCCACCCAGGCATACATTGAATCAGTCTAAAAGAGTAACAGATCACACGCCTTTAATTCCAGCACTAGAGGGGTATAAAAGATAGAAGCAGAGTCTTCAGGATTCAGTAGAAGGCATTCATTTTCCAGCCATACAGAAGACTGGACCATTTATTCTCCAGCCACGCTGAGGAGAGCTCATGGGTCAACCCATTCAGCCTGAAGTAGTGGCCCACTGCTTTGCTTTTCTGACCCTCAGCTTGAAGTTTGAGGCCCAATATCAACCTCTGGGTCACTTATGTATCATGTTAATCAAGTTACACCTTTTTATCCACATATGTAAAAGAAAACTATGAGCAAATAATTTTAAAACTCTCCCACAAAAAAAACCCATGAGCTACCACTTAAATTCTTTCAGGAAATAAGGGGGTGACTTTTTAGTGTGCCTCATTAATCTGGCATTGCCCTGATAAACCCGAAAGATATCACAGGAAGGCAACTAGAATACAGAAACACACAGGGGAAATCTAACATAACCACGTAGAAGTTACCCAAAAAATCGCCAGTTTACAGTCCAAAGATCAATTAACAGAATATACTACATTAATAAAATAAAAGACAAAGACATACCTTTACTTGGATTGACACAAAAAAATATATTTGACGAAACTCAACGTTCATCCATGATTAAAAAACAAACAAAAAAAAACCTTTGGACTAATTAGAAATGATAGGAGGAAGGATCGCTTTAATAAGCAATGATGAAAATCTGGCTAGTAAGATGAAAAAGCAGGTAAAAATGTCTATGGGCACTGTTTCTGTCTTACATCCTATTGGAGGTTGAAGCCAGTACATTTGAGCGAGAAAAAAGAAATTAAAGATCTCATTGAAATGGAAGAGTTAAAATTGTCCTTTTTTTTTTTTTTTTTTGGTTTTTTGAGACAGGGTTTCTCTGTATTGTTTTGGAGACTGTCCTGGAGCTAGCTCTGTAGACCAGGCTGGCCTCGAACTCACAGAGATCCGCCTGCCTCTGCCTCCCAAGTGCTGGGATTAAAGGCGTGCGCCACCAACGCCCGGCGATTGTCCTTTATCATAGGCAGTTCAATGTTAAATGTTGTAATCTTCTAAAATAACTTTTTAAAAGTTTATTGGAACTAACAAGAGAGTCTTACAAGACTACAGGACATATGAATAATATGTCAAAAATCTAATTAGTAGCAATTAGTAATTTAAAAATAAACTTAAAACAGTTCCAAGTTGAGTAAGGAAAAGTATGCCTACAATCTCGGCACTTGGGAAGTAGAGAAGGGTGTGTGAAGGAGGAAGCAGAAGAAGGAAGGGAAGGAGGAGGAGAAGGGGAAGGAAAAGGATGGGGAGAGGATAGGAGGGAGGAAGGAGGAAAAAATTCCATTGAGGAACATAAAAACAAAAAGGAGTGGAGCTTCTAAAACCTATAAACATTTCTAAAAGAAACTATTGTAACTCAGAAGTTATTTAGAATCTATTATTAAAGAGGTTTTTCTGTGCATTGGAAGGTTTGATATTTCTAAGATTGCATTTCTTTCCAAATTAACCTATAAATCAGCATAAGCTCAATCAAAACTCCATCAAGAACTTTATAAACAAAAATTTATCTTAGTTTAGACAGAACCACAGAGAACCAGGACCAGAAGCCTTCAAAACAAGTTACACGATCTGATTTCTAAACAGTGTAAAGTTGTGGTTGCCAGGTGGGTGTTGGTGGTATTAGCATCCGGATGGGCACACAAACTGGTATCAAAGACCAGAGTCTAGAAACAGACTTCCAATCTGAGAGCAGCGAGGCAATTCGGTATGCCAAGGACAGGTTTTCAACCAATAGTGCTGGAACCATTAGCAATCATATGATTAAAGAAACCTTTGATTTTTTTTTTTAAATTCTGTTCGAGTATGTTTATGTAATGAGTGTTTTCCCTGAAAACACATCTGTGTACCACATTCTTGTCTACTGCCCCTAGAGGCCAGAAGAGGGCGTTGGGTTTCCTGGGACCATTACAAATGGTTGTGAACGGCAATGTGGAGGAGACTCAAGCCCAGGTCCTCTGGGAAAGCAGCCAGTGCTCTTAACCACTGAGCCATCTTTCCAGCTCCCCCTCTGGTAATTTTGGAGATTAAAAAAAAAAAAAGAGTAGAAACAGCAACAACAACAACAACAAAAAACCCTAGATTGTCACCCCCCACACACACATGCATACACAACCCTAATTTAAAATGGATTGCAGATCTAAGAATTGGATTTGAAATTAAAACTTCATAAGGAACAGAGAGTAGTAAATCTTCGCAAACCATGCGGCAGGAGAAGCTTTCATAAATATAACATCAAAAGCAAAATCCATTCAGGGAGGAAAAAGAAAACTGAAATCTTTTGTTCTCCAAAATGCTATTAATAAAATGAGAAGCCAGGCTACAGACTGACCATAAAAGACTTTCACACAGAATATATAAGGAACTAATGAGTCAATAAGAAGACAAAAAGTTTTAGTGGATTAAAGAGCTGGATGAACAATTTACTAAAGGAGATACATGAAGGTAATGTGCACATGAAAAGATCCTGGAATGCCGTGTCCTTAGTCATCAGACAACGATTTGGTGAGCCCAGGAACTTCGTTATCCCCAGGCTGTCACTCTACATTCACTGAAATGGCTACAGTCACACTGGGAATGTGGCGTGTGCCTTATTCCCAGAGGAGGCTGGAGGTAGGAGGAGGGAGAAGGGAGACAGAGGCAGGATCTCTGAGTTCCAGGCCAGCCTGGTCTTACAGGACAGCCTCCAAAGCTACACAGAGAAACCCTGTCTCAATACATACACACATGCATACATACCTCTCTGGTTGTGAAGCACCCACTTCCAAATGTCACAAAAGCGTTAGGAGACAGATCCTGTGTGGATTGTTGTGGTCATTTTCCGGAAAACACTTGGCACTGTTGTCTTCGAAGTAAACATGAATCTTCCATGGTCTTCAACAACACTCCTAGCTAGATATCTACCAAGGAGACATCAAAACAATTGGATAAACAGGGATCCATGGAATAGAGCTGGTAGGGTCAATAATTCCTAGGCTGAGCAGAGGCCAAGGACTCAAATAAGGGTGAGGAATGCAACTTACCCTCTGGTGGTAAAGGTACCGTAGTCTTTAACTCTCACGTGGCCATGTTTGACGTGGCTGTGAGTGATGTGGCCGTGAGTGACGTGGCCTTGAGTGGCCATGCAAAGGAAATGACTGACTCAGAGAGAGGAGGGGAATGCAGGCGGTAGAGTTAAGATTCAGACTGAAGATTGACTCACAAGCCCTTGCTTTCACCTTCTATACATATTGCCCTACTCCGCAGTGAACAAAAGTAAAATGGGAAGTCCATCCCATGCTGCAAATATTGCTGTGTTTATTGGTTGATGAATAAAGCTGTGTCAGCCAATGGACAGGCAGGATATAGCTAGGCTATAGAGAGGAAGACAGAGTCGAGGAGAGGCCGTGTAGCCACCAGGGAAGCAAGAACCTAGGGCCTCACCGGTAAGCTACAGCCACGTGGTGATTCACAAATTAATAGGAATGGGTTAGTAATTAAGAGAGAGTTGGCCGGTAAGAAGCCTGAGCCACTGGCCAAACAATTGTAACTGGTATTAAGCCTCAGAGTGGTTATATCATAGCGGTTGTGGGGAACCGGGTGGGCAGAGAGAAACTGACCCAGTGGGACCGGAGGGATGGAGAACACTCTCCCACCTACGCTAAAGGACACCATTAGAGCCATGACTCCTGATTCCATTACAGAGAGCATAAAGTAGGAGCAAGGACTATCTGGGGCAATTCTGAACACTCTACCTTTCCTGATGCCCCAGTGAGTGTGCAGCTTCCCTTCCCACCCCATGCCGACAAAGAACCCCCCCCCCTTTACACTTAGAAACCTCTTCCCTCTCTCTCATCAGATGAAATGTAAGAAGTCCACTAAAGTCCCGCCTTGAAAGAGGAGACGTCACTGCAGAGATGTTGCCAAAGGCACCAAGCCGGGGTGCACATGGTGCCTGCCGTTAGCTCCTCCTCCAGCGACGCTGAGTTGAGAGCAGAGGGGGGGTTTGAACTGATAGACCTAACATTTCAAAGGCAAAGGGATGTGGGAATAATCAAGCATTAAAAGTAACTTTGAGCCAGGGAGATGATTCGGCCTGTAAACCAATTGCCAAGCAAGAAAAAAAAAAAAAGCCTGGAATTTGGATTCCCCATAGCCCATATAAGTGCTGGGTGGGGCCATAGCAACATTCCTGTAATCCTAGCTCGTGGGGGGCAAAGACAGGGGAATCCCTGGAGCCAAATGGGAAATCTCTGGGGTCAAGTGAGAGACCATGCCTCAACACAGGAGGTAGAGGGTGATTAAGGAACACACCAACATCAACACACGTGTTGCACACACATCCCCCCAGACACACACAAGCACGCACACACACACACATACACAAATACTACCTTGTCTCCATAAGCAGGATGAGTAAGAAATCCAGCAGGCTGACTGCCGGGGAAGTCTGGTATGCGTTCTGATTGAGAATTCAGCTGTATAACCTTCTGAGAACTGTATTTCTTATGTACTTATTTAACTAACATTCAAGCTGACAAGAATCCCATTTCTGGGCCTTCCTTCTACACTTTCATGTGGGAATGATCAGATGGGGCTCAGCTCCCACAAACTTTGCATGTTTTTGATTTCACACATAAACTGAAGGTTAGAATTCTAGTCTGTGTCCTCAGTCACTCAGGGTTTTTTTTTTTTTTTTTTTTTTTTTTAGATCTTTGAACATGACTTCAAACCCTGCCAAAACACAACCCAAATACAGACTTACTTCAGTGTCTGTACAAATACGGAAAAGGACTGGGTATGTCAGCTTTCAATGGGTACCAGCCTAATTGAAGCTTTAACTCCCGTCAGGGAACAAAGGCTGCCAGAGCTAACTAAGGCTGCTTTGTTCAAGGGTATGAAGATGTTCCGGAAGACAGGGAGTGAATCGCACGGAGCAACTGGAATAAGACATTCCCGAGGCCACTGCAGTCCACACCAACTTGTCCCGAAGCTCCTGCTACACCAGTAACAGTCCCAGCTGTATTACATACTTAATTATCTGTGTTTGCAGAAAAAAAAAAAGATTATGTTTCATGCCTTCTGAATACACACGTTAAAATCACATGACATTTCGGCGCTTTCTAATAACACGCTACCTTGTTTTATCTCTTTAATGGTCCACTCACTGCAGATACATCACGCCGTGATTTCACGGATGAAGAAGTCGGGTTGCAGATCAGAGAGGTGGGACTCCGAAGGCCCCAGGACCTGTCGCGATTCACTCCATCTTCCTGAATGTCTTTCACACCTGTTGCTTTCCTTGACGTCACACCTAGGGTTACAAGTTTCTCTCTGTCTCTCCTGTTCTCACTGGACCAGTTTTTCCTCCATGGTCCCCATAGGCGCTTATAAAATAACCACACCAAAAGCTAATAATAAGCTGTAATTGTTTGGCCAGTGGTTCAGCCTTCTTACTGGCTAGCTCTACCTGTAAACTAGCCCACATCTAATATTTTATGTTTTTTCGTGAGGCTCATGGCTTGTTATGTCGCATCTTGCTTACCCGGCAGCAACCTGGTGTCTCTCTGACTCAGCCTTCCTTCTCTCTTCGTTTCTGTTTGGGCTTCCCCCGCAGCTATGTTTTTCCTGGCCGTTGGCTGAAACAGCTTTAACTCATCAGCCAATAAAAGCAATGTGTTGGCAGCGTGCAGAAGGACATCCCACGTCACACACAACCTGAATTTCAGAGTAGAGAGACGTCCCGGTGCTATAAGCACACCTGCAGAGATGCCCAATAAACACATGCGCAGGTGGCCCTACTCTTCCGCCATAAGTAATCCAGAGCATAGGAAGTGGGATGCTCTGGGTTGCTTTCAATTTTACTGTCTTCAGTAGTAGTCAAAGAAAGCTGGGAGCAACCCCTGGGAACCTTCGCCATTCTTATAGCTCCGGAGAAGATGCCCCCCACCCCCTCCATGCCAGGCTCAGCCTGTCTCTTCCACTGCTGCCCCCTGGCACAGGCCAGCGGACTGTTGAATTCCGACGACTCACCAGCGCTAAGACCCGCAGTCCCATAATAGGCGCTATGCCTGCCTTCGTGTCAGTGGTGTATTTAGTTCCTGTCTATTTACTTTCTCACAGTCAGGCCCAGCTGTGTGTCTACACATTATAAGATCTCTCTTCTGAATGCTCCCCCTCCTGCTGGGTGACTCTGGAAAAATGGAATAGTTGTCACAACACCCCCTCCCCGACATGATCCTTCACCAAAACCCGAAGCCGTATGGTCATTAAGAACGACATTCCAGTTTGGCTCGTCTGACTCATCCACCTCCGTTGCAGCCCAACACCGAAACTGCCTCATTTAACACAGTCTGAAGTAGCAGATCGTGGTGGAGGGACAATTATGTTACAAGGCCAACACTACATTACAAAGAGCAAGCAGAGCTTGAGACACCACCCCCCTTGCCACCCCCCCCAGTGCTTACTGCTGTGTCTTAACTTGGGTGTGGTGACCATCCCAAAGGAGGACGGAAAACAACACCAAACCATCCAGGCTAAGCGTGCCAACATGATGCCGGAAGATACTGCACCATCCACGGATTGTGTGACCCAGCTACTTTTCATTTCCACTCATGCATGAGGCGTGTAGGGGGCCAAAATTACTAAGTGTTCAGACTGCTAATGCTGTTTCAAGCAAGAAGGTCTCCAGACTAACACCTCAAAGTCTTCAGGCTGCAGGAACAGCTGCCATTGGCTTAACTCGTCCACAGATGCTCAGGAAGAATTTGTTCATTTTATTATTAGGAAAAAAAATTTATTAGACCAGAAAGATGGCTCAGTACATTCTGGCACTTCCTGAGCAAGCCTGGCAGGCAAGCTGAGTTTGATCCTCAGGACCCACCTACAAGTAGAAAGAGAGGGCCAACTTCACTTAACAACAACAAAAAATGTTTATTAAGCTCCCAGCAGCTGAAAGCACGGGAGTCATGTGATCACAAGCAAAGCCAGCACCCTGCGCAGACAGGAGTGAAGACTCTAGTCTGCTGCAGAAACACTTAAGCCAAAGGATTTCGTTTTTTTTTTAAAGAACTTTACCGTTGACAGTAGGAAACTAGATGCTTGGAGTTGAGATCAGAGTTATTAATCCTAGAAAAACTGGCAAGTGGAACACTTGCCCTAAGTCCTGGTTCAGACAGTCTGGTGTGCAATCAGATCAGTGCTCAGTGGGTCTTCCCTGAGTGGATAATGTTCACCAGCATCATTCCAGAAGGAGCACATTGTGCCTTGCCATTAAGTTTCCATACTCAAACCCAGCAGTGAAAAGAAGAGGTTTAACCCTTCCAGAGAACTTTGGAGTCACCACCAAGACCAATGTAAGGATGACAGGACAGTGTCACAGGGCAGCCACCAAGGAGCTGAAGTAGACTCAGGACTGGCAGGGTGGGTCAGGTCCTCCATCAGGTGCCTTTTTCCCTCTGGCACACAGCACACAGGGTCTCATGACAGAGTGGCTTGGCTCACCCTTTGGCTCTAATTAACAGTCACGATGTGACTCCCAGGCGACATGGAAGGGTCTCTCAAGTCATCTTTGATACACCGTGGGGACGTCTTGACTCAGATGCCCATAAGCCCAGCTGGCCATACTGCCCTTGGTGCTCAAAGTTTGTTCCGATTGTAGACTGAAGTAGGATGTGCCTACTTGTGAAGGGAATTCAGATGCATTTGAGCCATTCGTGCCAGAAGGGAAAATCCTAAGCAAATCTGATGAGGCAGAATGCCAAGTTTTTGTGTGACCTGGATACAAGCAGCTTGTTTAGAACCAGAACTAGATCCAACCCCAGTTGGCCAGGGTGCAACCTTAGGAAGGTCAGCAAATTGTTTGACATGGGCATTCAAGATCTCCATCCACACAAGAAGTCTCTCCTGTAGAAGCCACCAG